AAGTACTGAAACAAATTTAAATTTACTCGTAAATTCAGACAATTACTTTAATTTAAATTAAGTTTTTTTTTATAATTTTAAAATATTTTAATAATTAATTATTTAATTATAAATTTTTTATATTTTTAAAAAATATTGTAGTATTAAAAATTTATACATATTAAATTCAGTAATAAAAGAATAATTATAAACTTTATTTAAATATTTTTCTTAATAATTATAATTTAAAATATGTAACTTATTTAAGTTAATTTTTAATCTAATTAAGTTTTTAAACTATTATATATTTAAATTTAATAAATAAATATAAAATATAATTTTTAATTTTAAATCAAGTACTGATGAGTAATTTTTGAATAATTATAAGAACTTAAGCTCAGATCCATTTTTTTTTATTAAGTTTAATTTTAAATTCAAATTTTATTAATTTATCAAATAAGTGAAGTTTAAAATTAATCTTAACAAATAAATTAAGTTTTTTTTAATAAATTACAATTAAACTTACCATACTAAAGAGAAATGAAAAATGAGAAATGAGAATCATCATAAACTCAAACTTTCAATCTAAGATGATATTCTCACAAACAATTAAATAATAAATCACTTTATCTTTACGTGAAAAATAAATAAATAAATTAAGTTTAAATTGGCTTTAATTTAAACAATTTATGAATTACTTATAAACTATTTCATCATTAATCTAGTTTCACTCCTCCTAAAGTAAAAACTTAGGAAATATAGACTTTTTGAAAGCACTTTTAACCATTTGAGAATTGTAATCTTTAAATTCTAGATTTTACTACTTTTGAATTTTGAAACTTTATAGATTTAAAATCAGTAAAACCATAATCTAAAATTATGATTTAGCATATTATATATAAATTCAAATTATTTTTTTGTTTAATATTAGTAAATGGGAATTGCACTGAAAACATAAATCTTTAGTAACTAACACAAAGAGATTGTACAAAGGGGAAATGGATTATACAAGTGCTTGTATTTGGTCCCATTTCAATCCCACTTCAATATATACATATATTACTATGAAATTTTACAAAATATAAGAAAATAATGAAGAACATAGAAACCTCAACGCTTATGCAATCCCTACCAGCATCGTCCTTGGCAAACTAATCAAGGAGACCACTAGAAAAAATAGGCTTTTTGTTGCGTCACACTTTCCAAATTAGATTGAGAATTATCTTCAAATCCGATGCCATGAATGATCAATAAACACCACATATCATATTTATCAGTGGCTGCAAAAGAACCATCTTGAATCTGAAGGTGCTGTCAGGATAGTCATGGAGGGCGAGAAGAGGATCAAAACCATTTTGCTTGAGAGATTTGGTTGTGATGTTTCCTTGCTTTGGAAACAGGGTGGTATTGAAGGATAATCCAGAGTGGAAACCTGACTTTGAGAAGTTGAGACTGCACAAGTAACTAACTGATCTGAGTTGAAAAGCTTATCAGATTCAGCCACCATCATCTTCAAGTCTTCATCTTCGCCTCCTTCATTACTCAGGATTGACTTATCCTGGGAAGCAAAGAACAAACCATCTTGGTTAAAGTAGGAATTTTTAAATAATTTATCTTCAAATGGCTTGGTTAGCATCACAAGCTTTCTCAAAACTTGGTTGTAAGTTAGTTTGAAAGCAAAATTCAAGTTTTCGTTCTAACAAGTTTGAAAATTTGTAAGTGCATAATTCCCTTGGAAGCAAGTTTGCCAATAAGCTCTACCAAATGTACCCAGAAAAGAAAAATAATAAGCACTGCCAAACATGCCTATATTTAGTTATAAAAGCTATTCTATTAGTCTCCTCTCTATCTATCATATTTAGGGTATACCCAAAAAAAAAAAGAACCTATCGCCTTTTAGGGACCTAATGCACCATCACTTGCTTCCATAGTATCTTTGAGACATTTACGCCTAGTGTTATTGTTGAACTTATAAACATGAGATCAAAAGCCAGATATTCGTTTGTTATCTAAACTTCTTGATTTCTTGATTGTAGTTGTCTTTTTGTGCAGAACAAACAAAAGGAATTAGCTAGTATTCTAAATTAATCTTATTTTCATTGAAAAGCATCTAAAGGAATTTGATCTAAACCATGTGCATTCTTTCTTCCCTAAATACGTTTAAAACTACAAATTTTTTGATAATTTGATCACCACATAAATAAGAGAGAATTTCAAACATCCCTCACCTGAGACAATGCAACAAGGATTGCGCCTATTGCAACTCAGGCTCAAAGACTCATTCATTTTCTCAAACTTCTGATCAAAGGACTGGTTCTTACTGGTCCTTTTTATCAGCACGAATCTCAGCCTCCACTGCATTGTCAATCATCAAAATTAGTTGTAACTTAATTGGAATGAGGGCAAGAAATGAGATTAATTTGAGCTAAATTGTAAATCCAATTGAGACCTTAGCAATGTAATACCTTCCTGTGTAAAGGAACCATTCTCCATGATCCTTATCATCTTTGTACCCTCTAGAAAGCACCACTGACTCTCAATCTGTCATGGTTGAAGTGCTCCTCAGCTTCGGATGGCTGGAATTTACACACATTTTTGGTAGATCACTGATCTGACATCAAAACCTTATCAGATTTGCTATCAGCATCATCTTCCT